AGTCAACTTTCTCCTAGTCTCAAGGTACCATATCCCAAAATACATCTGATCATTCTCCTGCTTAAAAAACTTTGTCAGTATCTATACATCCTTCAGGGTCTGACTCTTAATTCATTTAAGCCTTTTCCTCATTGCCTAAAATGTATTGTACATGCTCCACATGCTAACACTTTTACCATCCCTGAGTCTACCATTTCATTTCTCCATGCTTTTCACATATTTCTGCCTTTGCTTGGCCAAAACTTGTTCACACTCCAGACCTAGCTATCCCACAATGCCTCCCTGATGCTCCCACCTATGCCACCACTGCATTCAGTTTGCGCTTCCATTATACATGGTGCTATCATTAGGTATTCACCAATCTGTTTTTTCTACTAAATCATAAGATTCTGGAGAGCAAGTTCAGTGATGTTGTATTCAGATTTGTTTCCCCAGTGCTTAACACTATACTTGGCACAGAAATGTCTGTTGAATGAAAATTTAACAAATGAAATTTAAAGGTGAACGAAATAATTTTTCTCTAAGAGGCTAGGAAAAGAAAAATGTCTTCCTAAGAGTCAAAGTACTTTCCAACATCAAACCTGAACATGATGTCTGAGGGGTTTTTTTTTGTTTTTTGATAAAGAAAAACTCAACCTGATGTTTTAATAACAGTTAAATTAGCAGATTCAGGAATCAAAAATATATTGATAGTTTCAGTTTTGCAAGATGAAAAGAGTTCTGGAGATTGGCTGTACAACAATATGAATGTACTTAAGACCACTTAACTGCACACTTAAAAATGGTTAAGATGGTAAATTTTATGTTACGTGTATTTTACCACAATTAAAAATACAATTAATTAATTAATTGCCTAGTGAGGGAAGACATTTACTTCAGTAAACATACTAATTTACAAACCAGATATAGTGTAGAGCATCAAGTAAACTCTAATGTAAGAAGGTGCATCTGCAATTTAATTAAAATTACTGACATATTAAAGTGAGAAGGGAAATTGGAAGTAATGTAATTCAACTATCTGATTTCACAAACAAGAAAAATAATCACAGAAAAGAGAAGAGCATTAACCAAGTTAGAGGAAAAACTAGGATCAGAATCCAGGCTTTATTCAGAATGCAAGACTCTCCTAAAACACAAGCACATTATAATCCCAAGCAATTCCAAAAGTGAAGGCTAGCACTTACTGCATTACTTGCCTATGAAAATTTAATGAAAAGTGAAAATAATACTGCAGAGAGTAGTTGGCATAGCTGGGTTTTTATCTAGGTTCTATCTGTTGGATCTCAAACAAATACAGCACACTGTAATGCTACCCCATCTCATGGGATTAATGTGAGAATCAAATGAAAGCCCTATTCCAAATGAAAAGTATAATTATCTCCTCCATCCTCATTCCTCCAGATTCTCCAAGTCTCTCGGCAAGCCTCCCATCATTCTGCTGTGGGGGGTGACGGAAAGGAGATGGGGTGTAACCCCTACCGTTTTGACTAGGTGGGGTTCTCTTGTTCTTATTTTACGTAAGAAAGCCAAGTGGGAGAGGAGGGGAAAAAGGTAGGAAGGTTGCTCTTAATGAGCAAAGAATAACCTCTTACTGAAAGAAACAATTATCCATACCTCCTATCAATTAAAGACTCTGAGAATCATATGCTCTTTATACTGTTCATGTCAAAATTATCTTCTTCCCCAGTGAAGTCCTTGTAAAACTTTATAACTTTAGTACATTTCAGAAAATTGTACAATAGTTATTTGGATATACATTTATCTTTCCTACTCCACTGCAGATGTGTCAAAGCAAGGGCTCAGTATTTAGCCTTTAGGAGTTGTTTGTGAATTGTCTTACTTGGATCAACATTCAGCTGCAATACAAAGCCAGGTGGCTGGAGTTGTGCCTATAAGAACTGGATGAAAACGAAGACTGAATGAAAAAGGAAACAAGCATTTTATCCTCCTTTGACTTCCCCCAACCTCTATTATTTATTTCTAAAGGCCTAGTCAGAAGTCCTCCACGAACATTCTACATTGCCACATATTTGTATTTTTATATGAATAATACTTTATAAACAGTGTTTTCACTCTAGACATGAAAATATTTAAAGGAAAGTACACCAAATGGGTAATTTTTTAAAAAGCTAACTTATTTGGTAAACAAATCTTGTGCAAAATATTCACCATATAAAACATGTGCACAAAAACACTTTTTTAAAAAACATGTGCATTATGTGACTATCCATTCACATTCAGAATCTCATTCAAATGAAAACTATATTTTAATTTGTAGACTCAAAGCCGTTATAAATAAAAATCATAGGTATAACTTTTTTCCTGCACTCACAATATACATTAGTTTTCAAGAACATCAAAAAAAGAATATCCTGGAGACAAAGCCTATCTCCAAATACCAGAATTCATATACCTTCACCACCTAATTCACAGAAACTTTTAGTGCAGTATAAAATAACTATAATATAGATGCAAGAATATTTAAGGATTCCACGGATTGGTGCATTTTTTCCCAAATTTCTTCAGAATCACCAGGGAAGCTTATTAAAAATACAGATTACCAATATTCTCCCCTAGAGATTCTGATTCAGTTCCTCTGGGCAAGACAAAAATCTTTATTCCTCCAAGCAATTCAATTATTAAGTTTGGAAAGTAGTGATCTAGTATAGTTCTCAAATTAGCAGTTATTAGAATAATTTGAGCTTTTAAAAACCTTAAAACTTAGCCAGAGGCTCAGACATGGCAATGACATCACCACTTTTTAGAAGTTCCCCAGAGACATTTGAGAACCAGATCTTGCAGAATTGGAAAAATTCTTGTATAACTCTCTTACTAGTTAAGAAAGTAGGCTTGCTCAACTTCACAAAACTAAGTGGAGCTAGAACCATTTTTCCTGACTCCCGGTTCACTGTATTTTGATGTAGTTGTTTTGTTTTTCATGTTAAGTTGACCAAACCAAAAAAAGACAAAAGTGTGAAAAAATAAACTATCTCTTTTTGCCTCATAATACCACTTAACAACTGAATAAATTAAGATGGAGCAAATGTCGTTGCTTCAGAAATCACTAGGAAATATTTTCTTAGTCCTAATATAAAACAAAAAAGACTAAATATCACTACTACATTTTAAATTCTTACCAAGCTGTTAACATATCTTACAAAGAATTCTTTAAAAATTTCTTTTTAACTTCTAATTGTTTCAAAACTTCCAATTATTTTTAAAGTCTGGCATCACAGTTCCTTACTAGTAAAGTTATTTTGACACCTGAATTTGGTGACATGGTTTTCTCAGTACACAGACTGCGTAATTCTATATATTGAAGTGCCCTGTGAACTAACAGAAAACAGATTTTCTTCTTCCACACACACAAAAATGAATTGTAGCCTCCATTGGCAAAACCTCATCACCGGTTTGTCCAGATATTCAGAGTGGAAAACTTCTCAAGACATTAGTTAACCTATTCCAACCATTTTCTCATTTTAGTAACAAGATATGTAAAAACAACATGAAAAACATGTCAAGTGCAAGCTTACATACTCATAATTTTAAGTTGTTTTTTTTTTTGCTAAAAACTACTACATGTTTAATGCTTTCTGGTGATCTACTCCTATTAGTTCAGTATCAAAGTTGTCAAAGTATCATTTTTATCCCTCAAGGTTGCCAGATATTTAGGTATTTCAAATTTCCAAGTGTTTGTGATTTCTGCTTCTGGGCTTTTTTTTTTTAAGTGTTTGGAATGCTTTACAAAAAGCAGACCACATTACTCCACAGGTACAATATCTATACAGCCTATAGTACAACGTGTACTTTTGATTACTTAATTCCCAAAGGAGTAATTGCCAGGTTCTAGATTTCTAAATATTCTACATAAGAGTCAGATGCAATGGGTTTTGCAATCACATTTAATGGATTCTAGCAATATCAAGGAAAGCTCTCTTTTTCTTAACCATTAAAATATCAATGTTCAGGCATGTACTGCTTAACAAAGGGAATGTATTCTCAGAAATGCGTAGTTACGTGATTTCATCACTGTGTGAACATCAGGGTACACTTACAGAAACCTAGATGGTGCAGTCTGCTACTGTAACTGTATGTGCTGCATTTCTACAGGACTGGCAGTGCTGTGGGTCTGTTTACACCAGCATCACCACAAACAAGTGAATAGTGCCTTGTGCTAAAATGTTAGAACAGCGACAGGTCACTGGCCAATAGGAATTTTTCAGATCCATTACTGTGTAATCCTATAGGACCTCCGTGGTATATTTGATCCATTCTTGACCCAAACGTCATCCCCCGCCACCCCCCATCCCCCGCATAACACTGTAAGCTAAAAATCTAATCAAAACTTTAATATGCTGTTCAAGCTATTTAAAATCTGTAAATACCCCAAACCATTAAATGGAACCAAGAGTATGCCTATATGAAGGCATAGCAAAATCTAAAGAATCAGAATCTCAGTTAAATGTTCGAGTGATACACGTATTTACAAATTTGGGCTAGATGGGGAAATCCACGGACCTTCCACTAAGTGCTACAGTAAGGTTGGCAGAGCCTAAGTATTTGTGTTAACATTTTAAACTTGTATTTGCCATTTCAAGTACATGGCATTTCGGGTTGCTTAAATATTTCCTAAAAACAAAACAAAAACAAAAAACAAAAACAAAAAAACCCAAACATGTTTATTTTTCGGTAGGTGCTAGGGTACCAGTCAAAGACAACACCAGTTATTACCAGTTCGTGCCTGGTCCTGTCTGGCCCTGGCCCGCAGCCCCAGCCCGGGGCGGGGGTCGCACGTGCGGCGGGCGGGGCGGGAGGCCGGAAGGACCCGCGCGGTGGGCAGGGACGGGACAGGACGGGAGGGGGCCAGCCTCCCCACGGCCGCCAGCCCGGCCTTCCAGGGCGCCGTCCAGCGCGGCGGCCCGGAGACACCTCGGTCATGCAGGGCCCGCCCGCCCCCGCCCAGCCCTCTCCTCCGACACACAGACAGACAAGGTTCCGACCTGCCGCGCCCTGCGTGTTCACAGTCTGTCATGTTTGGTCAGGAGCGGGGCGGGGCTGCGGGCCGGTCTGCGGGGCACAGGACCCCGGCCGCCCGCCGTGACGAGGCGGTAAAAACTCACGGTTACTAGTGAGCGACACAGACACAGACTTTCCAGTCTGTTAACAACCACGCCAGAGAGATGGGCTCTCTGCAAACACGGGGCGCGGCCGCAGCCGACGCCGCCGCGCTAGTCTCTACTCGCCGCCGGCGGCCGAGGCTCGGAAGCGGGCGGGCGGAAGCGCCGCGACGCGGGGGTTTGGACAATGGCCGCAGTGGTGACTGCTCCTCACCGACATGGCGGCCCCGGGACGGCGCTCGACAAGATGGCGTCGCACACCAGCCCGGGGCTAGAGGCGCAATATCCCTCCGCGCGCCCCGCCCACATACCGCAGCACGTTGGCCATTGGATGAGGCGGCCGTCGGTAACTTCAGGGGTGGGTTCCCAGCCTTCGTGAATCCGCGGAGGCGGCTCGGTTCGGGTTGCGACGTCCGTCTAGAGGCGACCTCCGCCCGTGGGTTGGTGTGGCTTTCGTCTCAGGGCAATCAGGGACGCTGCCTACCAAAGTTTGCGGAGGCCCCTAACAAACGGCTTCTGAAGCCGTTCGCCGGTGTGGGTTACTTGGGGTAATAAAGATCGCGCACTGTTTACTGTTTTTTAAAATAAAATCTGTTGCTTAAATGATGGAGAAATGTACTTTCTCCTTAAAAGTTATAGTGAGCCTCTCTTTTTCTAATGTTTAGTGTTCCGGATCGCGTTTTGGGGAAAACAGCTTGGCTTAGTTCTGGAGGAAGATACCTTGATTTAGATGGTGGACTTCATGGTTGATCCTCCCAAATACCTGATTTCCTTTGTCTCTGCTTAGTGTGAATGAAAAGGGGCTACAGTAGGCCAGATGAGCTCAGGGGAGCCGCCTGGCAGGCTGGTGACCGAAAGTAGCTATCCAGGAGGGTCTGATCACAAATTGCTAACTGGGCAGGTCATGGCAGGTCGTCACGTTACAAGCCTGCAGCTTTCTTAGCAACTTCATTCTTTGCCTTAAGTGAGCCCTGTTCATTGTTCTTATGCATCTAGGATAACACGCTTTTAAAGGGTCAGGGTAATTTTCTTTTCCAACACCCCCACTGGCACCAAAGCAGACCATGAAACTCCTTGTTGTTACCTTGCCCATTTACTGACTGTAAATGTTCAATGTTAATTACCCCATACCCAACCGTGTAAAAAAGTTATGTATCTACATTTTGCTTTTTATCCAATTCTAATGATTTCAGTGCTTATCTTTCTCCCGCCTCCCTAATTTACCAACAGTGGATTTTGTGTACCTTATAATTTTCTCCTTTGCTTCTATTGCATAAAAGGGACGGGGAAACTGCCATTCTCCAGACTCCTTTTATACTAGTCGTAGCTTCCTCTTCCTGTGAAAATTACATCAGTACTGAGCTCAAATATTCCCCTTTCAAGATGACTTCCCAACCACACAGGCTGTCTTTTGAATCTTATTAGTTCTTGGTACTTCTTAATGAGCTTTTTGCCTAAAAGTGGGGTTTAACCCCATTGTATGACAAAACAAGTCACCTAAGCCGTCCGCACCTGTTTCCTCATCTAGAAAATGTTGAATACCACCTGTAGTACGAGGCCTGCCATTCTGTGAGCAATAGGTGGGTTGAATATGAAATAGGCCTGGTGCAGAGCAAGCGCCCAAGTCAATGGTAGCTACTGGGGTTTCGATTCAAAGGAGAATCCTAAAGACCAAGCCTAAAAACTATAGCAAATATTTTTTAAAAACGGGTCGTAAGGCACAAGAATATGCACAGACTTAGGGCGGTACTAGCGCGGGACCCTGGGGGATGGTAGAGCGCATGCGTAGTGGGGCTAGACTCGGTGGCCCAGAATGGGCGGGTAGCGCATGCGCCGGAAGCATTCGCGACTCTCATCACTTCTCTTTCCGCTCCCCCAGCTGCGGGACCCTGGACAGGAGGATGGATTTTGAGAATCTTTTCTCCAAACCTCCGAACCCGGCCTTGGGCAGTAAACTGCCCACGGGCTCCGATGCCATGGACTCCGACAACAGGTGATGCCCGATGTTTTCGGTCTGAACGCCGGGGCCCTAGCGGGTTCCGCCCCCTCGCGCTTTCGGTGGGCTCGGGACTGTGCAGGGCCTGGGGATATACGGGGCTCGGGGGCCTCTCGGACGTGGGGCGATGGTGCCGGGCGGGTGCGCGGGTAGAAACCGGAGGTGCGGCTCCCTACCTGAACGAGAGGGCGTCGGAATGCTCCCCTCCTGTTCCTCGGGACCTGTGACCCTATAGCACGTGTGAGCTGCTGGAAGACAGAGATCACCTGTCATTTTTCACGGACACGTGCTAGGCACTTTTTTTTTGTAGAAAATGCCAAACCGTCAATTCACCAAGCGGTGAAGAATAAGGAATGAATAGTATGCTTTTAGTCCACTGATCAGCATCAAAAGACCCTTAAAACCATCGTAAATCAGCAAACACCATTTAGATATATTTACTAAACAGGAACTGAGGCCGCTAGCCAAATGGCGCTAATTTATTGATCTCGTTCTTGGGGACGAGAATAGTTACACTTAAATATTCATTCACTCTTTTCCCTGTGATTTTGAAATGCTAAAAACCCACCTTATCTTCTAAACCTACATGTTTGCCACAATTTCCCTAGGCCAAAACCATAACACTGCCTTTATTCCTTTATTCCTCACATCTGCAATAAATCTCTTAATCTGGTTGATTTATCTCCGTAACACTCCAATCTTTTCGTTTCTCTCTGTCTCACAAACCTTAACTGGAACTATTGCTTTAATTCAGGCTCCCATTTAGAGCTTTACCTTGGTACTTTACAGAGAATGTCGTTTAATCTTAACCTTCAAGAGAAGATATTTTCACTTTTGTAGATGAGAAAGTTGAGACACAGAGATGATAAATAACTTGCCAAGATTACACAATGTAACTAGCAAAAGTAGGATTAAGTTACTTAGTCTTACTCAAGGACCCGTGATTTCATCTCTGTGCTTCTAGGGCACAATGGCTTAAATAAGACCTATAAATATTAAAAAGAGACAAAGACATTTACAGATGATAGGGTCATCTACAAAGGAAAAGCAGAGGAATCAATAAACTATCAAAATACATAAGAGAAATCAGCAAGGTGAATCACAAAAAAGACAGCGACATATAAAAAAACCAGTAGCAGCCATCAGTTTGAAAATTTTACTAAACTACTTTTATGACATTCTTATGACAATTTTGGATATTTCCCAAAATGTCAGCTGAAGAATGATATTGCATTATGGTTTTGGTGAGCACCCGTGAACTGTTACTCATTCATATCCTTTGCCTATCTTTCTCTTTAAAATTTTAGGATTTCTAGTCTGCAGATATGTACCCCCAATTTGTTATTTATCTTTTGGCTTTGCCTATGGCATTATTTTCAATGCATAAAGGTTTTTGTTTTAAATGGGTTTTTTCCTGGTAATTTTATTATGGAACTACTCATTTATTGAACACCTGCTAAGTACAGGACATTATTTAGGCCCTGGGAATATAGCAATAAACAAAAGAGATTAAAAAGGTTTGTACTCATGAGATTTATATTCTTGGGACACAGACAAATATATAAATGTATAACAGGTGCTCAAGTAATGTAATTCTGTTCAATGTCTTTTAGTTCTAATGTTGATAAGATGCCTTAGGAACCTAACTTTTGTGTATATTATTAGTTAGCCTATGGTAAAATTGGTTTAATTACTGCATGGGAGTTTAGGTGATCAGTGCCATAGAGCAAATGAAAGAAGGGTAGTTGGATAAGAAGGGAGGATAAGGATGGGCCCTGGCTGATGTGGCTCAGTGGCTTGAGTGCCAGCCTATGAAGGGGGGGCGCTGGTTCAATACCAGTTGGGGCACATGCCTGAGTTTTGGGCCATGTCTCTGGTGGGAGGCATGCGGGAGGCAGCCACACATTGGTGTTTCTCTCCCTCTCTTTCTCCCTTGCTTCCTGCCTCTAAAAATAAACAAATAAATAAATGAATTTTTAAAGAAAAGGATGGGACGGTGGGAAGGATGTAGGTATTTCAAAGAAGGTAGTTAAGGAAAGCCTCACTAACAACATCAATAAGTAATATTTGAGTAGGGACCCGAAGGAGGTGAGGGAGGTTGATGTTTAGTAGGAGAGTGTTCCATATACAGGGCCTGAGGTGCAGTGAGCTTGGTGTGATTGGGTGGTGGGAGCAAAGTGGCCAGAATGATGAGTGGAGTAAGAGTAGTCAGACTTGAGTGGTATTGGGTGGGTTAGGGGAAGCTGATCCTGCAGGGACTTGTAGGTTCCATTATAAGGATGTTGGCTTCTACCCTGAATGAGCTGAGAGGCCATTGGAGGGCTTTCAGCAGAAAAAGACAGTTTAGCCAGGTCATTCTGTATGTGTTGAGAGTAGAATGTAGATGAGCAAGAGTAGCTTGCATCATAGTATTAGTGGCAAGAAGTGGTCAAATATCGATATATTTTAAAAATAAAACGATGTCCTCATGGATTGGATGAGGGATATGAGAGAAGTCAAGGTCAACTTCAGGGCTTTTGGTCAGTATCATTAGAAGTTTGGAGTTGGAGTTTAAGATAGCAGAAAAATTAGATAAAAGTTCAGTTTTGCATGTATTAAGATTATGTCTAATAGACACCAGGTGGATATGTGAGTAGGGAGTTGGCTCTGCCTGCCTGGGTTTCAGTCTTAGCTCCACCATTTACTAGGTCTGTGATTTGTTACATAAGCTTTACATAATTCAGTTTTCTCATCTGTAAAACAGGCTTTTAAATAGTAGTATGTATGCCATAAGGTTCTTGTGATATGTGTAATGTCTATGAGACAGTGCCTGGCACAGAGTAATCAATCATAATGCAAGTATTAGCTGCTGTTGTCATTATTGTGCTGCCAAAGGATAGGTTATTTTTTGCTCCCTGTGATTCATTACTGAAAACCAGAGCAATGGAAGTCCACAGTGTTTGGCTTATTGACTCTTGCAATGGTAGCTTGTGTAGAAGGCTCAAAAAACTTCATAGCTGATCTGGTGGGTGTAATTCCAAAGCTCTGACTGCAGACAGATCAGTGGTAAACTGTTGGATTGGGTGGAGCTGTGAAGCCTGAGCCCCTCCTGGAACTTGGAAAGAAGCACAAAACCACCCTTCACATTCTTGTAGCGTGTTGTTTTGAGTATGTGTACATTGTCTAGTCCTCGCCTTTATCTGGCATGTAACACATGTCTTAAGCTTTATTTAGTAGCCACTACTTTCTGAGACAAAATTGTGTTTGGTGCCCCTATATTTGTAGCATCAACCGTTATTTAGGTTTCCTTATAAATTTTATTGGCTTCTTTGATCACTAGTTTTGTATTTCCCATCTTTATCTTTCTTGGGTTCACTTTTAGTTTTGACGGAATATCAAGTGATTGTTTCAGACGATGTATATACATGTTCAACTTCTCAGCCCTTGTGAGTATGAAAACCACTTCTCTTTCTCCTCTTCCCACTTAGAATGTAAGTTTGGGGCTCTCCAGGCCTGGGAAGGCACCCTGCATTCTCCCTGAAGTACTGGTCTTCCTTGCACTCTTCTTTGTGTGCTAACTCTTGCATGTCTCTGAGGTTCAGAAAGCCTCTGGCCCCCAAATCTAGGTCAGCTCCACCATTCTATGTGTTCTTCCTACATATACACCTGTTATTTATCACACTGTATTGAAATTGCTTTCCTTCTTTCTCCCAAGCAGATAGAAAGTTCTCAGAAGGCAGGGACAAGATCTGTTTTGTTGATTGTTGTGTCCTAGGATTTAAGGCCGGGGTCCTGGTATATGGTAGATACTCAGTATTTTTTGAATGAATGGAATGATAAGTGAATGGATAAATTTAAAAGCTGCTAATACTTGAACATTAAGGTTATGTGATGAGATCTAAAATTCCAGCTTTAGTTTTTACTCATATTTTACTCATAAACATGTTGCTATTTACTGCTCATTATAGTTTTGTTTAATATTATTTTTCTGGAGTATTTGGAGTAGAATTTGTATGTGGAATTTCTTTGAGAGCAAGTTGAAGGTTGTGGGGGGCTCTGCCCCACCCTGCCCCCAGACACCACGGATGAGAGTAAGTCTACCAAGACATGATCTGCTTGGGGAGGAAAGGTGGCCAATCTCTCACAGGAAAAGGACTAAGAGCCTTTTCCTCAATGGCTTTTATTGGGTTCGTTTACACAGGAATTCAGGTAAAGCTCATTACTCATTACTCATTACTCAGGAAGTAAGGATCAAATAACAAGGAACTCTGAGGGCCTATTTTGAGTCAGGGTCAGATAGCTAAAGAGCTGTAAAAAACTTTAAGGAACAAACTTACTCCTTCCTTGGACCCATATCATTCAATTGAGAGCATTCTAAACAAAGCAGGTTTCACAGGATTTTACATATTCTTTCTTAGGCCTGATCACCTGGGGAACCCGCCCTTTCCAGCACAAGGCTGCACCACCCTGTCATTGTTTCAGGCTTAAGTCAAGCAGGGAAAGTAAGGCAGCCAAGAGATTGGGAGATTTTCTCACAGACAATGAGGACTCAGGCTATGTCAAGGGTGAGGGTCCATCACCCCCTTTTGCTGTAGCCCCCAAAGTTCTTCCTTGGGGGCCTCCCATGTGATCGTACCTGTCTTAGGTCATTCCCCCCCTGGGGAGTCTTACCCGTCATTGGCTAACTGACCAAGCATTGGGGGCCAGGCAGGGTGAAGTAAAAGGAGCAGAAGCGGTGCTCCTGCCAGGGAGATAAGCTTTTGTCTCCTTGCTGGCTTATGGTAGAAAGTCTTTCCCTCAGCCTTAGCTTTGGCAGGGGTTACAGCTTCTGATACCAGGCAGGGCGGTTCCCAACAGAAGATAAGCCAAAGCTATGGATTTTGATGTTGTGATATGAACTCTTTTCAGGTTGAAAAAATCCTCTTGTGTTATTTGATATTTTTGCTACAGAATCGGTGATGAAATAGATGATACAGAAGTCGAAGAAACACAAGAAGAGAGAATAAAATGGAAAGTAA